TTTACCCAATGAACAGGTGCAATATTGATAACCACCAACAGTGAATTTAAATGGGCATTTCACTTTTTCTGATTTAGAAATAGGTCTACTCATAATCAAAAGGGACAGAGCATCATGCAGCCTTCGTAACATAAAATGACATTGTGTTATGGTGACAAAAAACAGAAAACAAAAACATTTGTCACCATAAGTTAGATTACATAGACATATGTTCTGTATATAAAGAAAACAATCACTTCTTTGTCACTTCTTTGAGCTTGGGGATGTTTCAAACTGTTAAACGCTGCCACCTACGGTTCAGGAGGATTATTACACCCCTAAAGGTTGTTTGACTGTGTAAGGGGTGTGTACAGCAGGGTGGCCAATGAGGTGGTCAAAGATTTGTCTGTGGTGGCCATGGCCACCCCCTAGCTCTGCCCCTGGACAAAGCAGATTTATTTTCAACTGACTACTCTTTGGGGATTGGCAAAATTAACTGGCTGAGCTGAAGAGGACACAATAGCCTATATGCCACGGTCATTAATGACATATTTCTGGTAAAATTCTTGCCACGCTCCTCCCTTCCACTCCCTGCTTACTGCCTATGTTTTTAGTGTTAGCTCCTAGTACTAGTCCATGAAAAAGTCACAAAAGTTAAAGCATCTGTGATCTACTGGTATAAAACGTGAGTTCTGTTGTGTGTCGTTGTGTCCACTAACCAGTAGGTACGATCGAGTAGTTAGTTTTTATCCTTTTTCCTCTTGATGAGGAGGTGACAGCAGAGGATCATAGCATTACAGGGAAAACTTATCTTTAAAAGCTCAYRCTTGTGTTTGTAATCGGCATTTCTAACCTGAGGATATTCAAGAGCCAGCATCAGAAATGAAAGACAGAGGTACAAAAGGGAAATGTACATTTATCCCCTTTTACTGCCAAGACAAGAGAGGAAAGACCACCTCACAGCTAGCAGGAAGCTAACACAGCAGCCGGTACAAAGGTAGGTGTGTGTGTGTCTGTTATATCTTGCTGTAATAAAAGTAGAGCTGGGCGATATGATCAAAATTTTATATCACGGTACTTTCAACATTTTCACCAGTTTCACGGTATTTGATGGTATTTTTCTTTTCATCACAGCTCAGCTGATAATAAAATGTACAAACCCTGCTTACTGACTTTTTTCTTTTCCTGTAGCTCTGTCTGTGTCTCTGTTTCCCTCCTCTGTGTCTGTTCTTCTCTGACTGGTGGTTGCAGACAGTAGTCATGCATTTTGTTCCAGTCGTGAAGGAGGAGGGTTAAGAAAAGATTATGATTGGGTTTATTGTTTTATGTTATTTATTAAAGCTTATCAGCACGACTCACCTTGCACACCAGTCAATTCCAATTCCACTACGAACTACTTCCTGCAGGCTTTTCACAATAGAACCACGTTAAGTCTCCATCAGCATAACGTCTCCATATTAACTAACCACGTTAAATCTAACTGTGCACGTCACTGAAGAGGTGTTTACTACATCCAGCGATGGTGAAAACGGGTTGTTTTTTTAAACGTCAGTCAATACAAGCAGCGGAATCGCCACCCGCGGCTGCAAAATCTGCTCAAAACATTAGCATGCTAACGCACATAGCGGTGCAGCAAGGAAAAATGTCCCCCAGGTAACAACAGTTCACTGGCAGCCGCGATGAAACGTTCCACTATTTAAACCGGTATTCAAAAAATTCATATCATAACAAAAATAAAAACTGGTATTCGGTACAAAACGGTACACCGCCCAGCACTAAATAAAAGCTGTTTAATACAGAAAGGCAGAGTGAAATCTTTGATATGTCTTTGTTAATTTTTRAAAATTTCTTTGCTAAGTATTGCACTTGAAATTAGGGATGCACCGATGTGAAAATTTCAGCCGATATCGATACCTGATATAATTATTGCTGTTATGGCCGATAACCGATATTTACCGATATTACACACTGAAATTATATTWTACATATCAGTGCTGGGCGGTATACCGTTTTGTACCGAATACCAGTTTTTATTTTTGTTATGATATGAATTTTCTGAATACCGGACATTCCGGTTTAAATAGCGGAACGTTTCGTCACGGCTGCCAGTGAACTGTTGTTTCCCGGGAGACATTTTTCCTTGCTGCACCGCTATGAGCGTTAGCATG